TGAAAATATAAAAAAAATTTTAAATCAAATCGAATTTGAATTTAACGAATATAAAATTAAACCAAGTTCAAGAGGAGCAAAAACCCTCTCCGACTTGACTCATTGTCAATTCTAATCACAATCACAGTATAGGTAATTGTCACTCCTCAAATTTAAGAGCCAATTTTGTTTCATCTCAGACTGCATCATGCTCATTTATGATGTAGTTTTTTTTTTTTTTTTAAGATGTACAGTTTAAGAGCATATAATAGTCTTGATAAAAAAAACCCATATATATATATATATATACATATGATTATTAAGAGACTTAGTTTTCTTGGGATTTTAATGGTAACAAAGTTCAGTTTTTTAAATTTAAAATTTAATTAAATTAATTTATATAATTATATAATTATCCTTATGAGATAATATTTAATAAATTTAAACTTCAAATACTATTACTTGTTTATCGGTTGATATAACATCAATTGATTGTCGGTTGATAGAGTTACACCAATGTAAAAGAATTATTTCCCTGTTCCACCCACCTTGAAATCTATAAATTCTGTAAGAAATAATGAATAATATATGGCGTCTGCAAGGGGTTTTCTCTGGCCCATTTCTGTATCAACTCTTAAACATCAATAAAAGTTTGGCTTCGGAAAAAGAAAAAAGATTACAACTTTATTGACAAAAAAAATAAATAAATAACAAATGAGTTACAATTTGTTTGTTTAATAAGAGGATTCAGGCTTTCATGCATCCATATCTAGAAAACATATGGAATGAGGGCTTTGACCTCTTTAGGAAAATCATCAAACTTAGAGAGGTACCATCTCCTGGTCACATAACTCCTACCCATCAAGTACAAAGCTAACCCTAAACTGACACAAAATGAATACAATGTTTGAGATATCAAGCTAATTCCCAGAAACCCTAAAATCTCAAACAGATAATGAGGGCAAATCACCAACCCAAATAAACCACCTTTTGGGATCTTGTAATCTTTGCCACCCTTTGCTCTTAGTTTGGAGAGAAGGTAATGATGGTAGAAATTACCAGTTATTGCTATTAGAAACAACAGAATTCCAGGGTACTTCAAATCAAGTGATGGCTGTGGGAGTCCCTGAGTGAGCACCTGTATATAAATCAGGCTTGAACTGACTGTGAAATAACTGAAAAGTATGATTATCATTGAGTCAACAGCCATCTCTCCACTGTATTTGTGAACGAAAACAACCTGCAATTGTTCAACCAATTAGCTTTTAACATAGCTCAATTATTCAAATTTCTATACGACCCTGCATACACAGCAGTGAATCTACTTTTTGAACTAGTATATCAATGCATGGATATTCTTAAAAATTAAAAAAATTAAAAAATTTGAAGATAAATATTTTTTTGATATTCTTAAAATTTTTTTGAATATTATTTTTATTGATGAAATTAATAAATCTGTCAATTTTATACATTATAAATAAACAATTAAAAAAAATCCTATATCCAGCCCTTTTCTATTTGTTGAAAAGGACACCAAGATGCCACCACACAAAAGGCCAGCGTGCTCAAGTTTCAATCACTTTCACCTCCGCTTTTTCAACTTTTACTTTCAGTAAAAACGTCATGATTACTTATCATAAAATATAACATGATCATTATTTTTATAAAAATTAACTTTTCTCATCCACTTTCTTGATTTTTACATAATCTTTTATTATTTACATTTACTTCTTTTATTGTCTACTTCCAAAAATTTTTATCTCCGCAAATCCAAAAGTCTATTTTTTCAAGTTAGTACACAAATAAATCTAAGTTTTATACATCTAAACCATTTCAATCAGTCTTAAAAATTAAAAGTAAGAAAATTTGGAAAAAAATTTTCCTTAAACATTTTAAAATTTTCTCATACATATTTTTTTATCGATAAATTAATAAATTTATTAATAATTTATATATATTATAAATAAAGATTTCTAAAAATTCTTAAATCCGCCGTTAGCATCCGTTGATCGTCGAGATGGTGACCTACTCATCACTTATCCACATTAAGCAAACCAACCGGCTAGGGTAATAGCTCAAACTATCTATGGACCTCATCAATATCAATCAATTCTATTTATTGTCACTTTCTTATGCCTTTTCTTTATATTTTCACTTAACTTCCCTTACTTGTTACGCATTACCGACTTGAGCGAACAAGTGAATCCAAACGACGCAGTCAGGTGTTAATAGATATTCCTAAATATTATAAAAATAACATCAAACTAAAATTTATCTCATATTTTTGGAGTCTAACTTTATGGAAAAAAAAAATCATTTTAGATCATAAATTAAAAATTTTGTTATCATTCATTTCTATTAGAAATAATTTTCATCATTTCCTTCTTTAATTCTCGTATTATTTTTTATTACTTAAATCTACCTTGTGATATATTTTTAAAAGCTTTCATCTCTCCAAATTCAAAAACTCTCTTTTTTTTAAACTGATGCTCATATAGATTTATGTTTTCCATCATCAAATCATCTCAAATAATATTAAAATATTAAAAGCTGAAAATTTTTCCCTTCTTAAAATTATTTTTTGCACTTTTTTTATCAATAAAATTAATAAATCTGTCAATAATTTATATTTAGATATATATTTTATAAATAAATAATTTTTTAAAAAAATCTTATCTGAAACGCCTGAAAGTCTTACAACCGACGCTCATTCACCGTTCTTTACCTTACAGACAACCTCAACCTCCAAATCAAGACCAAGTTCCAATAAAACACGCAATCAAGCTATTCAAAATACCATATGCTTAACAAAGTAGGAAATAATCATATGAGAGAGAGAGAGAGTTACCTCAAAATCTCTCTTGAAAAAATGGATAGTAACAGCAGATCTGAGGAAAAGAAATCGAAGGTCCCCGTCAGGGAAAAGCCAAAAGGACGCAAGACCGACAAGGAAGGCTGGTGTGTAGAGCAGGAACATACCAACTCTACTTGGAACCTTAATCCTGCTTGATGCTGCTGCAGAAGAACCAGTATTGAAGAACTTGGAATATTTCAAGTGTATCCCTCCTATTTCTAAAACCCCAAGAATTCCCACATATATCAGAGTAAAAACAGATGCTGCAGTGACCATCAAACTACTTGGAAATAGAATTTGCACCTCCATTGCTTAGTTGCTTACCTTCTCTCTCCACTTTCTCTTTTCCTGCTACATATGCAATTATTATTTGTACAAAGAGTAGCTAAGTTTTATATATATATATATATATATATATATATTTAAATTTTTTGAATTAAAATTATTAAATTCAAAATTATTATTTTAATTCAAATAATTTATAAAATTAAATTTGATTTAATGGTTAAAAGAAAGTTATATTAATGTAATATAAATTAATTAATGTGAAACTTTTGTAACAGGAAAAAAAATAAATGCGAACGATAAAGGCCGAAAAAAATAAGATCAAAAGTTTTATTACATATCATAATATCGTATTAAAATTTTTAACAATCAAATATAATATATTTTATTTTAATTTAAAATTTTAAATAATTTATTTATTTTAAAATTTTTTCAACCAAAAGTTATAGATCCAGCAAAAAAGACAATTAATGTGAGCCCGCATATCAAACAAATCAAATGGATCTGTTGAATCTGAATTCCACTCGACCATTAATAATTAATTCATATATATACTCGATCGTTGCGCCTGTTTCGTCGGGGATTTTCTTTTAAAAAATATCATAAAATTTTTTTAATGAAAGTAACATTAAAATAATTTAATTAAATCAAATTAAAAAATAATTATTTATCTATTGATTTTTAGATAACTTGAAAGCCTTATGATATTTTGAAAATTTTAAATCAATAATTATAATTATTTTTATTTATAATTATACATCATTCAAATTTAATTTTTTAAAATTTTGTGAATTAACAGTATTTCATAATTGATAAAACTGACAGGATATTAAAAGCGAATTTTGAAAAAAAAATTAAAACTAATTAGATATGTGATTTATGAACCGTTCCACTTAAAATACCTATATTAAAGGGAAAGGATAAATTGTTTTAGTATAAATAAATATCTTTTTAAAAATACTAATTAATCAAAAATTAATAAACAATAAATTTTACAAATATATTTAACATATATCATTCTTTTCTTCCAAAGATATATATATATATATATTTTTTTAGCGATGTTTGACATCCAATTAAATTTTAAAAAGAATACACATTTATAAAAAATAATTATTTTAGTTCCAATGATGTAAGTCCTCAAAATGTTATATATACTAAAGATTATACTTGCACAACACGTTACTATAGTTCATCATGAATGAGTATATTATATGAAAAAAATTTTAATATAATAAAAATTTTGCTTACAATTTACTATACTTTACCAAGGATTATACAATTTACCATGAATAAATATATTATATGAAAAAAATGGAGTGGAAATCAAATTATTCATTAATCAATTTTTAATTAAAGATGTGAAAGAGTGGAAATCAAATGAAAAAAAAAAAATGCATAGTTGAACTGTCAAATGCTAATCCATAAATAAAAATTGTATCATGAGTAATTTTATGTGTTAGGTCGTGACTCATCATAGATAATAAGTTGATAATCTATAAATAAAAAATTTTGATCCAACCAAACATTATACTAGAGATTATGATTGGACAGCACGCTACTATTGCAATTCGCCCATTTTATCACCTCTAATAAAAACTATTGCACTTTCACTTAAATTCATAATTAAAATAGCAAGGAAGTGTAAACACACTTTTTAAAACAAAAATTCCATATCTTAGTGAGATAAAAAGAACATTTAACAAATGAGCTTTAGATAGTAACCATAATCACAATTGCACTCTCCAATTGATTTTAGTTGAAAAAAATAAAAATTCACAACATCAAAATTTTATATAATGTGTGTTTTTTTTTTAAATTTATATAAAGTTAATTTAGCATTGCATTACAATAAATTTGTTGCTTGATTTGGAGAATTATCAAAAGGTATATCCTTGGGCCAAATATGCCCATAAGATGAAATAGCCCAATACAATCTCATGCTTAGTGTAATGGATTTAAATTATTATGACTTTTACCTCTCAAATCAAAGCCAATATTTACAAAACTAGCCCCAACATATGCAAAAGCAGGAGGTTGAAATTCTGTACATCAATGTAAAAAATATGTACATTTGAGAATATTAATATATGCGTCTATGGAAAATCAAATAAACAAAATCTCTAACATGCTATACTTTCTATACAGTCCCCAACCACTGAAAAGAATCACGTCTGATTTACTTGGAAACAGCTCTTGTAGCACAAAAAAATGAGCCCCCTTCTCCACTTATTACACAAAGATGAAATACCATCAGGAACAGATTTCACCTTATATAATTGTTGTAGCTCATCTGATTTTTATCTAATTGCAGATTTTCATTGGCTTCTTGATTGTATGACAGATTCTGCAAAGTTCAATCAAGATGATGATAAATTATCTTAGCAACAAATAAAATATAATTATTCTTACATAGTTCTTTATTATAATAGAAAACACTTAAAAGTGGCGAATCCTTATGGAGTTCATTATTAATTAGACAATATAAAATTAAAGTGAAAATAATTATATTATTAATTCTTTTGTAGCTAGCTAATGTAACTTATTTTCTTTACTATTTAAAAGTTGTTCAAACTACTAATATACACGTTACCTAGCATTTTTGGGGAAAACCAGAAATTTTTAAATCATTTCGGTCAATTGACACAATATTTTTGATTGACAACCAAAACGTTGTCAAAAGTTGTTAAAAAATGTTTCCTATGATGAAGTTATTTAGAACATTTATTATTTCAAAAAAAATGAAATAAAATATGGCCAAAATTTTTGTAAATATGGATTGAGATTCGTACTTATTTTCAATCTTCTTTGAAAAAAAAATAAAGTTGTAGAGGAACATTTTTTGTATTATCCTTAATTTAAATCTACCCATAAAAAAATGTAAGATATATTGATTTTCACTAAGTATTTGTTTTGAGTAAATCCTTCTTTTTTTTTTTTTTGCAAATTATTATGGTACATATATTTATTTGAATCCTAATTTTAGCTTTTCTGTTGAATCACGGTTCTAAAAGCAATACATACGTCTCATATTTAAAATGAAAATAGTTAACTTATATTCATTTTTCACTGCATGTTACCTTATTACCTCTTGGCTTGAAACTTTCTGGAACAGCTTCTTTCTTGGACAAGTTAAAGCAATTCATCCAAAATATAACTATTAAAAAAATCTAATCCTAGTTAAGCTATAGTTAAAGCAAAGTCAAAGGATCACATAAATAAGATGAAAACTGAAAACTTTCCAATTTTGTTACTTAAAATTGACTCATAAGAGGTGAAAAAAAATTATCTGTTGACTTATTTTATTACTCATCAATCAGGTAAATAAATCTTTAAATTGTTTTGATTTACATTTATGTAACAATTTGGTGAGATATTGCGTAGTTAAACTAGCTTCCTTCATTTCTATGAGATTGATCCACAAAAGCACATTCAATGGATAATAGTCTCAAACTTCATTAGAGAACAAGCTCCTACTTTTAGGTTTGCATCACTTCTATTTTAAAATTTTTCTTGTTATTAGTTATTGAATTCCATCAGACAACATTTTCTTTAAATTTCCGTCAAGGGTTAATAAAAGGTATAAATTATATGCAAACATTAATATTTAGAAGCTCTTTTTATTTACTATTTTATAAGCGATCATATTTCATTTGATGTCAATTTTATTTCTTCATTTCCAATATACAATTTTATTGTGATTTTGATGTATTCTTACAAGACACTACCTTAAATTTCCTCTGGAATTCCTTGATAGGTTTTTTGAGAAGTTTTAAAGATGTGACAACCTATTGTTTCAATTAACACTGTTTGGTTATCCAACAATTAAATGCAGGAAAATGCCTTTCAGTACTGTTTTAGCTCCAATGTAATTTCATTTGAAAACAAACTTATGTTCAATAAGTTATGAAAAATCAATTTTGAGGATTAGAAGTAACAACAATAATATTAGATATAGTTGTAACACAAAACAAGTCATTGAGCAATTTGAAAATTAAATTCTTTAAGGGGATAAAAGAAGTCGATCTATACATAAAAACAAATCGTAGAAACAAAACAATAATGTGACTGCAAACTATAAACAAAATATAATAGATAATATTGTAATTATGAGTAATAATTTGTTAAGTAATGGTGACAAGCTAATCCATCCAAGCTTCTAGTTGGCTGTAGTTTTAGGTTTCTCATAAGAATATTAATGTGAATATAAATGATTTGCTTAACAACAATTTATTTTATTTATTTGTTAAATTAATTTCTCTCAACTAAGGATTTTATGTTAATGATTGTAAATGAGAGTGAAGACAACACATGAAAAAATTTTAGGATAATTATGAGATTTTATTAGAATATCTTATATATTTCACTTTTCATTCTTTTAGCTTAGGAAATTGGTAGCAAAGCTACTTGGTAAAAAAAAAATGATACTTTACTAGAAGAAATTTGTTTTGAAAATTTTTGAAAAATGGTTTGAAAAGCAAGACTTAAATTTAATAGTCTGATATCTTGTTTTTGAAGGCTGTAATGCAGAAAGATCAATCTAGAATTCTTGCAATTGAGGTAAAATTATTTTTTAACTATGAATATTTAAGAATTAATGGGTCAAGTGCTTGTTTTGATTTGCTTTTGTGTAATAATGAGGTGAAATTTGTGAAATTTATTTTAATAGTTGTAAACCAAAAAATTTACAAGCAAAATTTAATCTAAGAGGTTAAGAAATAAATGTCATCATCTCATAAATTGGTATTTGATACAAGTGTTCAATAAATAGGGAGGACTAATATCAAATGAATTATACACTCTAACACTAATAGTTAAAGAATACTGCAGAAAATTTATTTTAATCCATTAGATAATTTAAAAATGTATTAGATTATATAAAAATCTGTTAGAATATATTTTTAAAATATGAATATCATAAAGATCATTAGACGAATTTTAAAAATATATATAGAATCGTCACAATTTTTTTTTAATTATGTATAATTTGATCATCTATTAAAATATATTTTTTTAATAAAATCTCAAAATTAATTAAAATTCATTAAAAAGATGCATTGTGATTTCTGTCCACTCTGTGGGGAATGATCATTTG